CTAAAGTGGTCATATTGGAATATTTATGGTGGGAAGTTGATGACGACCGTGGCTGGATCAGGAATGGGCCCTAAGGCCTCAACGTGTGGCCCAAACTCGGGTTCCACTAGCCAATAATTGCCATGCAGTGCATGAGTGCACGGTTATGAAAGCTGTATGCTGGAATCAAATGGCGGATATGCATCCGTGCAGGAACATAGTACTGTGGGTTTTGGTAATGATAAAGGAGTGAGTACAAGTCCGGAGGTACATCGGACTCCTTATTCCATGCCGTTAGCGACACTGAGGGGTGTCGTGACTGTGAGAAAGCGGCGGAAAGCTAGGGTTCGTGAGCTTGGGGATGTCTATCGTCGGGATGCCGGCGATGCTCCAAGAAATCTGGATCCAAGTCTCGCATTTGTGTCTTCGAAGAAGCACAGGTTGTTTGTATTATCCCGACAATGTGACCAAATTGGTGTTGGCACCGTGGGTTTAACAAATACACATTTAGTCAAGTTCTCACTCCCTTCATCCTCCAGGACAGTATTAATGGTCTCTCGTGCTCTCTCTCACACGCGCAAGCACCATCAGGCCCAGTCACGCTCCCGTTGTAGTATCAAAGCGGTCCAGGGTCAATTCACAAAACGTAAGAAATGAAATAGGGCCTAGAAGAGCAAGAGCCGATCTCCAAACAAGGAGAGTTAACCGCATGAGGGGGTCGCACATGCCGACTATGGGAGTAACTAGGTGGCAACGCCGCATGTGTGACATATGTGTGGGTATGTGTGGTTGTGTGGGAAGGAGTGAGGGAGTCGCCTGATTGGGTGCGTGGGTCAGATACAGGGGGATCGTATACACTACATCCAATTCGCCACTCCGAACAAATGATGGAGACAGGTAAGACTGCCAGCAGTGCATTGGACATAATTTAATTCTGCAATGGGACTTATGCTAGCGGGGGCGTAGGATGCGTTGGGTGGCGAGGAACGAAGAAATTAACAGGCAACCACCTGCCTGAGGTATCTCCACGCATTGTACCATGGAGTAATCATATCAAACAATCAGTCGGCCCGAATGAGAAGACTCCCAGCAACCGAAAAGTCGTAGTTACTGCTTGCCATGTATCGCAAGATTCGCATGAACGAATCGATGAGAACCTAGGATGCGGAACCGACCGTAGGTAAAAAAGAGGAAAGCGAGTGAACAAAGACTGTGGTCACTCGCTTCGCACTGTGAGATCGTTAAATGACAGTGGCTTTCTACACACGATCATTGGAAGTGGTCGTGTGCGTCACAAATGAGACACGTCGCGTGAGATGGACGCTCAAGAGTATTTTTTGGGCTTATGTGGAGCTTCAGGGCCGAAGAGCCGACATTTCTTTCTAGCACGTTATGGTTAACCATGCTTAAATGCAGGCAAGGTGTGAGCAATAGTATCACTCCAAGAGCATGAGAAAGAGGCAGCAGGGAGAGGGCCTGGGTAAAGATTGGGGGAGAAAGTTTGCGAATAATAGAACAGCAATATTGTACTGCGTTGGCGGTGAAGGTCCACGTGTATGGTAGCTATCTCAATCCGTTGCGTAGGGACTGGATTCTCCCAGGGAAGGGCGCATCGATCTGAGGATGCGTTCACAGGTTGGCAGATTTAGGGAGAGCAAAGCTGGCAGAAGTGTTCTGCAGTCCCGGCTTGCGGGTAACATACTTCCCATGCAACACTATAACAAGTACACACATGCGCGTATTACTTGCCACACCCAGCGAAAAGCGGAGACTCATATTCCGTGGCAAACATTGTCCTTGGGGGTTGGGATTTTACATAGTTTGGAAGTAGTTTCCAAGAAGAGATGCTGGAAGGAATGACCCAGTAAAAAACCCTGGTTCCATCAGCAGGGATATGAGTACATAGGCGATATATTGGGTGGGTGATCTGACTGCAATACAATAGAGGATCCTTTAATGATTGCAAGTCCTCGGAGATGACGCAGGGTCCTTGGTTGCCTGAGAGAAAACAGCACCTAGCTACAATGGGGTATAGCAATTAAGTAGTCCACACATGTCTTGAGAGGAACCTGTATGGAAGCGAGGGCGCCAAGAGTGGGAAAAAAAAAACCAAATGGCCAGTTGGTGATCGTAAAATAGGACAGACTTGCCTATAGCTAGGAGCTATGATCGATTGCATCTTTAACCAGTTCCGCGATAAGCGGAAATATCGAAAGACTTTCTCCCCAGTCAAAGGTCACAACGAGCTAAGCAAGAGCGGTCAGTTCACGGAGGCCGTGATGTGCGTGGTTGTTGTTGTTGTTGTTCGCTTCGGGAGATTCCACCCAATTCATTAGTGCTGCTTAAGGGCCATCTACGGCCGTAAGCACATACAACATCTCGTATATTCTCGGGATGATTGATGAGGGGGAAGCAAGCGCACATGCCCTCGATCGATGCACTCTTTTTCTTTCTAATTATCAGCGTCATGCCAGAGAGTCAATATTGCACTTGGTTCCCCCACGTGTTCAACACCTGCCTCTTTGCGCAAGCTGGACACAACTTTTTTCGGTTCCATGATCCTCTTGAAGGGACCTTTCTGAAAGAGGCTGCCTAGTATCTGGATTTTATAGCGTGAAATTGGATACACTGCTGCGCGAAACTGATGGCTCTGATGGCAGCACCATCGGATTGCGGAAACCCGACCCCTGACGGACACGGCGGACATGGCGGAACCCGTTTTGAGAAGTCTAAGATCTTGCGCATTGCCCCATTATTGGTGAGGCCAATTCTTCCGTGATTGATGCTCGTTAGAGCCGTCTTAGGCATTTGGCTCGGCTTTGTTTTATCATCTTGCCGCTGCAACATCTTGCAGCCTGCTAGCAGGCTGCATTCACGTATATGAATGGCCCTCAGGGTAATTTTATTACTGAATGGTAACATTATCGCGCTCTTGCGCAACTTTTTCGTTTCTAATCCATCGGTGAGGCCGTTGGACCCGCTCGATCTCGCAGTGGGCTTGCGGCTTTTAGCCCTTCTGACATAAGCCATAACTCTCCTTTTTGCCGTGCTGGCGTACATATACACAGTTACCACGATGGGCGCATTGTATTGCCTCCATGCAAGGTGGTTGGGGGCTGCCTATTTTTAATCCACACAGTGGTAACACTGGCGATTGTCCTATTATGGCCTTCCGTTGTAGTAACGAGGTTTGTAATCGTGATCGACCATCGAAGGAAATGGCGAGTTCAAGACTCCTCTTGAGACAGCAAAGGCTTTTCCATGACCGTCGGGGGTTTTGTCGCTGCGGTTATTGATTCCCTGCTTGTCATGTCGAGTGCCTGGCTCCCATACGTTGTGTTCTCGTTGATAACAGTATAATAACATCTGTACCCAATCCGGACGCCAGTCCCCTTTCGCTCTACAACTTTCGGATGGTTCGCAATTGGTAGTGGGAGGTGATGTTCTTGTCTCTCGATGCTATCGGACCACCCCCTTTTCCCGTCTAGAATGCTATATGCCGTTTCGGCTGGAAGGTGGGTAATTAAGTTGGCCTACCCGGATCTCCGAGTCGAACGGGCCTCCGTACAAGGCGTTACTGGGCTTGTCGGCTGACTACTGCTTGAGGGGCTGCAGGTTGTATGAAGTAGTTTGTCTTGTCTTCTTAGCTTAGTAAGCCTCCCATCCAAGCTTAGCATATTCTTATGAAAGGGTTATGTACATGGTTGGCCACCTGGCTCCTTTTCATTTGGCTGGGCTAGCAAGCATCTCCGCTCCCACGCGATGCTCTGCATTTGGCGACGTTGATTACTGTATGTGAAGCTACAAATGTTACAAATGATATTTACTTAAGCTTGTAGTGGATCATCCTTTGCTTATAGCTGTCGTCAATATAGGTCGTTGCTCCTTCTGATTGACAAATGTAGGCAGCTGTTCCGCCCTTCGACTTGCAATTCAATTGAGTCACACACATTCGGCATCACCCCGAGGGTTTGAATTGCAGCCTCAACCCGCAAACTGCACTTTAGCCTCGGCTCTATGTCCAACGATGGACGTCACACTGCACCATCTAATCAGGCTTTTTCTGGTGGAGATCCAAGAGCACAACCTTTGTGGTGGCTCAAGCCTACCGCCCGTGATCGAGTGACCAAATTGTTTTCCATTGTCATCGACTTCTGCGCTCACCGCAGTGACATTCTCGATGCACTTGCAAAGGCACCAAGCCTCACAGAGGCCCACAAATTATTGGCGTCGCTTACCGGTAGCATCAGCTCGACGTGGCGTGAAAGGTTTCCGAATGAGGCCAGAATTAAATTTGTAAGCACAGGTGCAAGACCCCCAACGCGATGGTGCTCCCAAACATGCTTCTGCCTAGAACGAACTTGAGTCATGCCTGTGCCAATATCTTCCCGCGAAAGATGCAGTGGCCAGATATATGACACTCGTGCTGGACGAGAGTTCTTACCTGGTATGTGCTTTGTTTGTGTACAAGTCGCTCTTTGGCACGTCTTAGACAGTTCCTTTTTGGCATAGACACATGGAGGCCTCTATACTCTCGTTGCATATCATCGCGCCAGGCAGGACATCTTGGAAAGTCTGTTCATGCAAATGCAGGAATCAAACTCCGCCAAAGGTCTCGTCGTTCCGTTTACGCTCGAACCTTCCAATAATTATCCATAATTTTAGAGGTCTTTGCGCTAAGGGGACGCTGCACTGAACTTCAAACTCAAATCTCGCAAATGACTGCGTCCAAAGATCACGCGACGCGGGAACTTGACAAAGTTAGAGCGCTGAGCGCTGAGCTGAAAATTCAGCTTGAGAACATTACTCAGCGCCAAGCAAAGACTGCGTATCAAGAGGGTGAAGCGTTGAAGAGAGCATCTCATTGGGAGAATCAGTTCAACCTCATCTTTAACGAGAATCGCAACCTCAGGAATCAGATTGCGGCGACGAGCGGTGAGTTGAATGTTCTGTTCTCACAGTAGGTATCACTCATTCGTCTGAGGAGATCGGGCTCGTAAGGCTGAGGAGGTACGTTGAGAGTGACGTCAGTGAGCTGATACTGACGGATCATGCGGCGCCGACCTAGTCCCTGTACCGCCACGTTAATATTGCTGCAGAGATGAAGAAACAGCTCCTCATGAGTCCTCATGCTCACGTAAGTGCGAGCTTGCCTTCCTCCGTCCAGCGTACCTGACTGTCGCTGTCAATAGAGTCCTACCACACCCCAAACAACGGTTGGTATCTGCCCCCCTTAAAGCCTTTCGTTCAAGGCTGATTATATTATAGCAATCCGAAGGCCAAACCCGCCATTCAGCCTTTCAATTTCACCCCCATCAACCTCTATCCCATCTGCCACGATCACAAGATCACAACACCCACTTAAACGCAGCGTTTGTACAAAACAACCAGCAGCCACCAACAGTAACCATCGTTCCTGCTCCTGCTCACTCTTCTGCGCCTAAATCTGTTCAGGCTTCTTCTCTGACGGCTCCGAGTCCCCAACCTGCTCGAATAGTTGGACAAGGGAACACTCCTAGTACAACGCCGTCTGTTCAGTCAGTGCCCCTGACATCTCCAGTCGTTGCAGAAGGAGTGGCGCAAGAGGGCGTTGCGACTGTCATGTCGAGAACACCTTCCGCTACCTCGCCTATAGGTCGTGAAGTTAAACCCAACGAACTTTCTTCTTCAGAGCTGGCGTCGAAGCCTGTATTCTTGCGATTATTTAATCACATGTTCGAACAAGTGTCTGGTTTACCCAAAATCGAGTATGAATGTACATTTTGCCGGTGCGTTGGTTTGCACGATAGCAAGACGCATTGTTTGTCTCAATTTGCGTTCCCAGGAAACGGGTCATTCAAGGACAAGAGCCTGAGAGAGTCGGGGACGATCCGAACGAATGGATGTCCCATTGTAGGACAATTCATCCTAAGATGTATGCCAAGGCAATGGTGGCGGCATTGAATGAGTCTGCGTCGCCAGCGCCGACGTCGCCGCCGACGTCTGCCGTGCCACCTACGTCTGCCATGCCACCTTCTCTTGTCCAGTCAGCACCGCCAGCTACATCCTCACCTCCAACACCGCCCCTTTCTTCGGATCCTCCAGTGATATTGCAGTCTACTGAGTCCATACCGACAGTGCCCCCTCCAGCACCGGCGACCCAGATACCAGCTACCTTTAACCAGCCGGACACTATACCACTGAAGAACGGCCGAGATAGCATGGGAGGATAAACGTTGTTTCTCATGTCTCTGCTCTGCCGTTTTTTTCCACCTATCTCTCGATATCTTCTATTCGTCACGAGCTTTCCGAGTTGTGCTGTTTTAATGAGTATGAAGGGGGGTTATGAATTGATATCGTTTTGTTTGAAAATAACTCTTCATTGTGCTGAGAATTGTTACCGGTCCACAAATTGGGCGAGAATCAGCGGAAATGGCAGGTAACTGGTGCATACATGCGTAGAATTGGTGGGAGAGTGGTGGAGAATGTGGAGAATTGGATGTCATATATTGTGATGCCATGGTTAGGAATCGATCGCAGTTTCTATGTAGATCGATTAACATGGGTCAATTGACGCTGTTGGCTCCTTTAAGTACCAAGACTGTTCAGCGCAGCAAGTATGCAGTATCAGCAATGCAATCCTCGACCATGACTCGGGAAAATTATCATCGTTCATGCAGCTGCTCGCTAGCTAATCGTGGCGGCGAATGTCTAGAAAGGAAGTGATCAGAATGAGCAGACGAAAAGTTCTAGCAAAGACTTGGATTTCATCTAGAAGATCCAGACACTTTCCAGTCAGTAGTTGAATGTTCAGCCATTTGTTCATCCGAAAGCGTATGAAGAATCTCCCAATGTGGTTTGCGAATAAAGAAGGACGAAAGTAAAATAATGGGCACGAGGGACTTTTCGTCCTAACGTAATAATAACAACTCACGTCGGTTTTTGAATTATCTAAAGCGTCTTGCGCACATTTTTGGGAAGACCACGATGCAGATAAGGGATTTAAATGTAGAGTGAGCAAAAAGGGGTTTTGCCCATCCTCTGGTAGTGCCGTATGCACCCGCTGGGTTTGCCATACTCGAGCAAATTCAAAGCTACATTGTTTCCTTTGGAGGGTCTGCTCAGCAGCCAGCCGCAAGATGGGCCAGACACTAGTAGAGAAGGGAAAGGTGAAGGTCAGGTGGCAGAGAAGTCTGTAAATTCTGAACGTCAAGACTTCATTATTAAGATCCAAACAAGCTACAGAAAGTTGCTTGCGTCGTTGGCCGCGCAGTCGACCCCGAAATGTTTTCCACGGGTAACTATTTGAGCTCCCAGTAGATCTCCATTTGTATGAAGACTATAAATGGCGAATGACGGCAAAGGACCGATGTTTTCCACAGTACTAGAGGGTGGGATGACGGTCCTTTGCGGTACCTAGGCTGGGTGGGTGCCGAAAAGCTAGCTCTAAGTTTCCAGGCTGGGGTACTAGTACGCAGGGGTCGGGGAACACGGTTATTCGCGGCCAACCGAAACAGTTCTCCAAGTAAAGTAAACGTAAATATCAAAACTAGCCAGAGTTTCCCAGAAACTAGGCGGAATATTCCCAAAAAAAAGTGATAGTGAAGTGTAGAGACCGAATCCATCCATCCTTTTAGCGTGATGCAAGGTCACTGATGGCCTGCTGATTATGACGAATGAATTTTCTCAGAGAGTGAAGATATCGCCGATGTGACCGCAATACCTGGTGCCGCCTTCTTTCAGGGAGGGAAAATGTGGGTGGGTGAAACACAATTGTCAGAATTACTTCCCAGCTTCTTCGGGGATGAATAGGCGCCACGGTGTTGCGCGCGTGACGTCGTTAGGCTGAACAGCCACCGCGACATGAGAAGGATAGTCGTTGGGGCTTTCAGGGCGTCCTCGCCTCGCTCTCCACACCCAAGCCATGTAGACCCCTCATCTCATCGATCTATATCCACATCCCACGCCTCTATGAATCATAGTTTGGACCCTGCGACCAAAAAACCATCCAAGCATGCAACGTTCTACCGAGAGCTCGTCCCTGCTATGATACCTATATTCATTCTTGGGTCTGCTGTGTATATGGTAAGGTCTATGGGTGTTGGCTGTGGAAGTTACTCGTTTCACTTATTGTTGTTACATGTTAGTCCTTGCATTTAACTCGCAACTATCTGGGTCATGAGAAATACGTGCGGGAGGCCAAGGCAGAAATTGCTTCTCTTAAGCAACACATCGAGATTCTACAGTCACAAGCCTCCCCGGCCTCCCAGGCGACGCCATCTTCCCCAATCAACGTGAAGCGATGGTGGAGTTTCAGTGCAAACTGACGTTGAACTTGGTTTAGCACATCGTAAAGGCTATGATGGGGACACGAAATGATTTTCGTATGTTGGAGTGCATTCATCAATACGGACAACCGTCTTGACTGGGGCCTCATACATGACTGCTTCAGGGAAACATCTATGGTTGAGGTGCCATGCTCCCTGTCCAACGTCCCCCGCTTGCATTTCCTATCTACATGAATGAATGTGTCTCTGTAATAAGCGAGAGTAAAGGGATGCAAGAACACAACGGCCTCGAAGAATCGTATAATAGCAAAGAAATCACCAAATATTATAACCAGAGAATAGTCAGGTACTGACGTTCGACTTGTTTATGCGTTTGCTTTGTCGAGTTCGCTGCGATGTCGGTCATACATCTTCCACGTGCTGTTGGTGATGATGTGAGAATCAGGTTCACGAACGTGGGGCTCTCGAGAGCACACAAACCTAAGAAGAGCAGATGCCAGTCCTGCGTAGGTCTTGACAGAATCTTTTGCTTTCTGCAATTTAAATACATCGTAGGCTAGTTTTGGGATGAGCAAGCAGGGATGGGCTTAATAGATGAATAACGCACAAACAAAAATAAGATCCATCAGGAGCTTCATCCTGGTGACTTGCAACCACCCATACTGTGCTTTGAGCTTCTTGAGTTCCGCTTCATCCTCTTCAATTTCGGCAGTGTCTGTTCCCATCTCTAATCCAGCGTCGTATATCCGCTCTTGCACTTGATGGGGAGGACGATCAGTTGCCTATTCATTGATCAAAAGAAACTCATGTTACCGACATTCATGCAACATCCCCTTAACCATCGCCCTTTCTGCCCCGACCTCGACAAGTCCAGCAAGGGTGCTTGCGAACCAGAACCAATCGGCTAACCTCCCAGCTCGGTGGCCTATTCTCGCGCCAAGAAGCCCCAGTTTGGAGAGTGTCGAAACATCGTCGGAAATTGCGTTGAACAAATCGAGCAAAACGGGTGGCGGAGCATGGAGGAAACGGTGCATAAGAGTCGGGGACGTGATAGTTGCGGCCGAGGCGAATGGGATATTGGACTCGGGTGGCGATACAATATGAGTCAGAGGCGTCAGCCAGTTGAACATGATAAGGCATTTCCTGAAGTTGCTTTATTAGTGGGAGGGCGGAGAAGAGAAGTGCTGTTGACAGTGCACCTTGTGATCGAAAGGTGACCAATCGAAATGTTTAGTCTGCGTGCTAATTCTCCTCCGCGCGGCTGTCGGAACAGGAAGGCAGTGCGCGTATGAACCATCAGAATGAGCCGCATAGTATATTGTATGATTTTCTGTAACATGAGGATCACATAAGGAACAAGTCAATTTCACTGTCGCAGGTGAGAAAATCTCACAAATGCTTTATCTCGCCCATATGCGGTCTTCAAAATCTCCCTCCATATTTCTTCAGGCCGGGAAGCAGAAAGAGGTGTAGACTTTATCACTTTGGACGATGAAAGAAGAGGGGGGGCTGCGGTTGGGGCTTTAGTTGACGCGCTCGTGCTGGTGTTTTTCCTAGAGCGTGGCTTAGGTGGGGGAGACCCTGATGAAGAGGGTGGATGATGGGGTAGTTCCGACCCTGGATTTATACGTATGGAAGTCGTGCCAAAGGTCGCTGTTGTACTCGGTGTAAGCACTTCATGATCCGAAATGTGGTCTTGAAAGTAAGTCGAGTCAGTGGAAATCTGACTCGCTCTAGAGGACAACGGCCACGGTGATTCATGAACAGACATGGCGTTGAATTGATCGACTGTCCGTTGTATCAAAAGTCCTCAAGATAAGGGCAGATATGACAAGTAGGCTGCACGACTGTTCAGCTGATGGGCGCCGACGTGGAAACACCCGACTCCGGAATTCAATTAGGTAGTTCAATTCATTTCCGCGCTTTCAAAACAATTGGCGCCGGCTGAGCTCGTTCGAAAAACAATTGCAAAGAGCAGTAATTTACACTTCCAAACTGCTGCATGCGTTCTACCGGTGTGCATCCCGCAATGATTTCCCGCGGTGTTTCTTCTGACCTGGTTCCAACGCGGGCGGCGTCTCACTGTACGCCTAAAGGGGCCGAGCATGGTAGCTTGTCAACGAGGAGACCGGAAAGGCGTACATTTAAAGACCTACCATGTGGGCGTTCCCCGTCCATAGAATAAACAGTCGCAATTAACGTTTCTTGATCAGACGATCGACCCATATTTGGAAACACGGATAAATCTGAAGAACGACGCCGTGGCCCCACGCGTGAAGCCATAAATCATTACTGAAGGTGGTTCGAACTCAAAGTTAAAAACTGGAGTTCGGGGCTCAACGTGTTCAGGGATTTTAACGACGGCATCGGAATCTGCTTGGACCCTCCATAACTCGCAGAATACGAACCCTCGTTATTCATCTTCCTCGATCGCGGTTTGCGATATCTCCGGTATCGAAACTTCGGTTGGTGGAGCAGATTACGTCCTCTAGGACGGCATGCGCTCGCATGGAGAATTAGCTGCCTACCACGACTAGCCTTCAATTCTAGGCACCTGAAGTATTATCGACCAGATGAGTCCTGCTGCTGATGACAACTTGCTTCGTGGATCGTTCTTTGTTTAGAACTGGTGTTGAGAAGGGGCGCTAACGTGCGGAATGGGTTTCTCTCATTTGGTGGTAGAACGGGGTCAATCATTCAAGGAACCTGGTCCCTTCGAAGGCTGCTTGGAGAAAATCCCCTATGTGATGGATTTTAATGCGTTTAAGTTCGTCGCAGTAATATATCCTAAGGTATACGAGGGAAGAGATTGAGGTGGAGAAAGGGTTTATTTGATGTCGGAGTGCTCGTTAGGAA